ATTAGGATATTAAACGGAAAACCCCACGGTAACACTAAAGTTCGTATACGAATTTTAACATGCAAATGAAGATTATAATCAGCTTGTGTATGCGCTACGTCACAATGTTATAACTGCTATCCGGAACACAACAAATATGAGATTTTCTTGTGAAAACACATTTTAACCGTTTAACTTCACGGTGCACTAGGCCTGAGGTTCAGTAAAAAATAAAATAAGATTAAATTTGTATGAAAACATCCGTTACAATGCGGAAATATACCGTTAAATTAGGACGGCTACTTATAGTCATGTTTGTTGATTTAATATTGATGTACGGATGATCAGAAGGCGGAGTTTCTCATGCAAACAGATATTGTACTTCCGATTTCGCCACAATGAGGTTGTCCATTTTTTATGCTTATAAAACTCATTTTGGTTGACTGGACACCAAAATAAGATCTGGAGTCGATATGAAACCCAATTTATCAATGAAATGTCGCTATTTCTGTTTTTATGAAATTTATTTAATGTAACTTTAAGGTCAAAAAGGCACAAAGTTCTCACATTTTAATGTGCTGAACTACCTTTCGTCCATCACCTGCGTATTATTTGTTTATATAATATATTATGACTATCAACTCTCAAATTTAGAACAATCTAAGCTTTCCTTGGTTATATGTGTCATCTCGGGCAGATAGGTCAACAGGTTAATTCAATCAAAATTTTAACCATTCAAAAGGTCAAATAGTTTACAAAATATTAAAGACAATAAAAATTACCGTCTTTTAATTTTTTACAGATTTTTATACAGAGAAAAAGGAGTAAAAAATAAGGTTCAAAGATAATTGAATAAAAATTACATGTGCTTAAATCGTTTAGATTAACTGTTATGCAGAATTCTTCTTTTTATTAACAATCATTTGTCCTTCACTGGCTTATAGATTTATTAAAGTTGACATCTTACGATTGATTTCAAATACTTCATTGTTTTTAAACAAGAAGAACTTCAAACACTAAAACAAGAGTTTGCCCCACTTTGATAAATCTATCTAGCTTTGTTGCTAAATTTTAAAACCCATTATGTCTCATAGAGCTTTTAATGCTATTTCTCAGCTTTTTAGTTTTTGGTGTCCAAAAATACTCATTGCCCAGATACATTTTTGCTTCTGTCTTTATTAACCAATCAGTACATATTTTGATTTAATATTTGGTATGGAAGTCAAAATGTTACTTTGTTTATATTTTCAAATTATTTCATATTCAATGCAGGCAATGTGCATTTAACATGCTCTAAAACCATTTTTAAAAGGTGATAAAATTTGATTTTCATCTTTCTAAAGAAGGTAGAATATTCGTTACTAAGGCATAATGTATTTAATTAAAACGTACGCAACGAGAAAATAAAAGTATTAGTCAAATCTTGATTTTCTGTTTACAGAAAAATGTATATTTCTGCTAAGTAAATGTTTCTTCGTTTACATAAGATTCTTAAATGGGATAAAGTGCAAACAGTAAGGTCACGAATTGAAAGTTTATTTCGGTATAAATGGGTTAACTAAGATCGTTTGTATTAAGTCTGCGATGTGAACATATGGATCTATCAAAATGTGTCATGTCTAATTATATCTGTATTTAGATCTGAACAGAAATGATGATAACATGTTACTTAATATAAATTGTGACCAACTATAAATACGAATCAAATTGCGGACCAGTATCATTGTCTTACTCAGCTGGCGACCAAGAGGAACATCATGCTCAGGATTCTACTAGCTTGTTTTGTCTGTGTCTCATATGTTATGGTAACGTATTTATGTTTCCACTTTTTCATTTATAAAATTGATATAGGTATTTTAAGTCACCTGAATCATATACATGTATGCTTTATTTCTTATACAAAGTAAAGGCACATTATGTCTTAGAAAAACAAATAAATATTTATTTTTTTAGAAAAGGCAAACATCAGTTTTATAACGTTTCAATAATGGTTTAAGAGTACGTTAGATTCTTGTTAGCTGACAAAAGTAGCACTAAATGTGACATGATTTGTCATAAATAAAGCAAAATGTAAACAAAGTTGTATTTTGGCTTCCATACAAAATACTAAAATTTATATAACTATACTGATTTCCAAACAAAGCAACAGAAGAAAAAGATGGTACTGTTTACTAACGAACTAGGGAAGTACCCCAAAATAAGCATTTTAAGGACATAATGGGCCTTAAAATATAGTATGTGCGAAGTGTTTTTCATCATATTGGATTGAATGAGATTTAGCCGAGCGTTAGTTTTGATATGTCTTCATACGATAGTGATCTTATTTGTAAGTCGGAAACGTATAAATTGATTCATACCCCAAATTTGAATCATGAAAAACTGACACATATATAATCTACTTGAAAAAAATATTTTCATATCAAAACATTCAGATTTATTTTGTATCATTAACATAAAAAAGTAAAAGAACTTTTTAACTATTCACAAAGTTGTGGATATCAACATTAATTTACACAATGATGCGGTAACCATTGTTGTCCTACTCTTTACTGCTGGATTTATAGCTAGCAAATTACATTGCATTACTTAATCAAACGTTACTGTACATGTATATTATTTTTGATATGCCCAACACGATAACAGAAGGCTAAAATAGTAATTTCATCTCAAATTATGATACCGCTATAAGGTACTATCTAAGGATATCCGTTAATTTTGAAATTTAACGCTAATTCTGTGTAATGTATTCAATAAAACATGGTTTGTTTCAGTGTATGACAACAACACAAAGACCTCACCATGTTCATAACCACAATCACACACATAACCATTCGCACCATCACACCAACACGACGAGGGAGCCTCCAGCGAGAGAATCTTTCAAGTTTATCTACGAATCTCACTCTGTAAGTGATTGTTTTGTTCCACGCTAACGTTACTATGTTACTTTATAATAAAAAATTACTGAAAAAGCCATACATATTGTATATCTAAATGCTTTTTGACAACACATAGATTGCATGGACACTATAATACATGATTCAACCCCATCCTGAGAAATCATTACAACTCATTTAAAATACTATATAGTTAATGTATTTCTAAAATTTGATAAACTAAAAATATATTTTCAGCAAATGATGGTTGTAGTTAGCGCAAAGGAATGCTACGTATTTGCATTAAGTGACAGTGAAAAGTCGGCTATCCACACAGACGCTGGTTTACGGGCAGTTGAGGTAAGCTATATTTGTCTTTTTGAAACTGACATAAAAAATAGCATAATTGCCGGGGTACATTTTGTCGTATATTTTTGGTACAAATCTGATTTTTTCTTCGATCGTTATTTAGATTATTTGTTAATACATAATCAAAGTTTATATACAATAATAATAATAATAATAATAATAATAATAATAATACTTTTGAACATTTTTTATTCCTTTCGTTGTAGTATAGTTTCAAATATTTCCCATAAGTTTATATACAATAATAATAATAATAATAATAATAATAATAATAATAATAATAATAATAATGATAATAATGATAATACTTTTGAACATTTTTTATTCCTTTCGTTGTAGTATAGTTTCAAATATTTCCCATAACCAAAAGTGTCGCGTTTAATTTATTGCAGCTGCGTTTACTGAGTGCTTTAAGTACCACTGCTGTGACGACTATAACCAGAGATCAACTGGATCCTAAGGCGGCACATGCATGTGGCGGACATGCAACGACATTCTACAAGGAATCAAGTTCATAAGTTTTTTGTACATGTGCAAGAATTAAAGTAAATAATAATTTAATGTGCAAATGGTTTTCAGTTGTTAATTGATAGACAGAAGAACAATGACTTAAAACAGAAGTAAGAGAAATTAGGACAACAACAACAACAACAACATTATCACAGAATGAAAGTGTACAAGATATTGTGTTGTTAGCTAAAAAGATAGATCAATTAGGTGCATTAAGAAAGATGATAATGTTAAATAATACAAGCAACCCTATTATACCATCGTCCGTATCGTGAACCAATTTTTTTTCATGAAAATCCGTATTTTGAATGAAATTATCAGATAATTCAGTTCAAATTCAAGATTTTGTCGAATCGAACTGTTATTTCTACAGGTGTAATATCTAAAAATTGTTTGAAATATAAGTCTAATTATATTATGTAAGGATTAATTATTTTAGGCACATGTTGTGCAATAACATATTTCTTTGAGTTAATTGTATTTATTTTGTGAATTAATAATGCACAGCAATATTTATGAAAATAAGATTTGAAATATTGTTTCCATTTTTCATGATTTACAGACTTTCTATCATGATGTCAGTATTTCAAAATACTTAGAAGTGTTCTCAGCCAATATACAACTTCTAATATAAAAGTCATATGCAACACATCCACTGTCATTTACATATTTTGAAAAAGACCCTGTAATATAAGATAAACGCTTATAAAAGAAAAATAAGCAGACAATAGCGATCTTACCGATAATGGTCTGTGTTTGTCTGTAACAAAATATCTGTTAGGAACAGAAAACATAAAATCCTACAATTTATGGCGAATGATTATATATATATATATATATATATATATATATATATATATATATATATATATATATATATATATATATATATATATATATATATATATCATATGATTATATCACCTAACACTGATTTACGATGATCATTAATTGCAGTTTTACACTGCTATTATGTCAAGCTCGTCTTTTATATAAGAAACTATATTTTATCTGGCCCTTCATTTAAAACAAAACTCAAAAAAATCATACCCTAACTGTCGCTCCACTACCCTTCGCTAGAAGATTCGTAGCTGAAAACGATGGTCTGATTTAAATGAAATTACATTTAAAACAAAATGGCAACTGCTTTTTTACACGATGTAAAGAGGTTTCAGGTATTCCACATTTGGTCAAGGTGCAAATCACAGGGTAGCTCAAACTCGTTAGGAAAAAGAGAAAACAAAAGCAAATCGCACGGTGGTTTGAATGAAATTTCGTTTTTATTTAAGATACCATAAAATAACATTATTGATACTAAATACACAGTCATTTAATTACAATTCATTATAAAATCTAGCAAATAAATCATACTGGGAGACATGTTAAATGAAAACATCATCTTCTCTCAGCTATTTCATCCCACCGGCCATTGACGCACACACACGCACGCACGCGCGCGTGTACGCACATGAAATTATCAAATGGTAACTTATATACATATATAAACATTTCAACTTACATACACACATGAGCTGAGAAATATACATTCGGCTTTGCTGCCCAGTTTATGTTTATTTTCATAATACAATGAACATTTCAAGTATGACATGTTTCTTAACTACTGCTATATCAATGGCGATATTTTTGCAATACACAGAATGTCATCGTTCATCTGGAATGTTATTTTATCGCCGTATTTCAACATTATCTGGTGCTGGCCCATTTCTAAATTTGGCAATTGCACCCGAATGCGATCTATTCCAATAAGGTTCAGTCACAAATATTTGTTAAGAACTTCTAAAAAATATACCACACCATATCATTATGCAGTCATTTCATGACCAGATTTTTGCTCTTAATATGTTAAACTTTGTTTCCTCATACATCATATATCAGATGTTAAAACTTAATGCACACTTAGAACACATAGAGCACAAACAATCATTTCACGAAGCATTTTATTTATTTATTTATTTCAATTATTACGGTCTCATCTATACATGTTTATATTTACAACAGATAAAAACACACACAAAAATAGCCATTCTGTATAGAATTTAGAGAGACCAAGAAGAAACAAGAAATGTGTCCATATGACACGGGTACCCCCACTCCACTGTTTTGTCAATCTTATGACTCTAGGCCAAGCATTTTTTGGACTTCATGTACCACAAGTTGAAAACTAAAGTTATTTTACTAAATAAAGGGCAAGAACTTAACAAATACTGGATTAATCCACAAACGAAACCCAAGGTGCACACTACACATGCTGTCCAACATTCCTGTTAAGTTTCATAACTCTAGGTAAAATACATTTTGAGCTACGCACGACACAAATTGAAAATTGCAAATTTAAACTGAGTCAAGGGCAATAATTCTAGCAAAACATATAAATTCACAAGGGAAACCCCAGTTGCACAACTTCACATGCTGATCAACATTCCTGTAAATTTCATTACCCTATGTCAAATACTTTTTGAGCTACGTGTGACATAAGTTGAAAATTGAATTTTTTTACTAAGTCAAGGGCAATAACTCTGACAAAACAGAATAAATCCACAAGCGAATCCCCAGGTGCACACATTCACATGCTGATCAACATTTCTATAAAGTTTCATGACTCTAGGTCAAAAATATTTTAGTTACATGCGACTCAAGTTGAAAATTGTAATTTTTTACTAAGTCAAGGGCAATAACTCTAAAAATGCTACATATATCCACACGAAAATACCAAGGTTGACAATTACACATGCTGATCAACATTCCTGTAAAGTTTCATGACTCTAGGTTAAATACTATTTGAGCTACGTGCGACACAAGTTGAAAATGGCAAATTTTTACTAAGTCAAAGGAAGTAACTAAAACAATAGTAAATAAATTCACACGAAAATACACAGGTGCACAACTACACATGCTGGTTAACAGTCATGTAAAGTTTCATGACTCTAGGTTAAATACTTTTTGAGCTACGTGCGACACTAAATGAGAACGGATGGACGGACGGACGGACAATAATTAATCTAAAAGCCCCCCCCCCTTAAGTGGGGGCACAAAACTAAGAAAAGAACAAGCAAACACTATTACAGGGAGATAACTCCACAGCCCATATTACAGAAACTTACGATGTATATGTACTGCAGATGTATCTCCCTGAAATTACACACGTATCTATACATAAACATAATACCTATAGCCAGTTTCTATATGAGAATAACAAGGGACTGATATATACACTATGCACACATTATTCACAAACATAAAACAGGAAAACTCATATTAGATGTCACAAATTAATGAAAATAGCTATCTTGTTGATGTTCTACAATTAAATGTAACTGATAAACTTTACTGTCACTATGAAAGGGGGAGAAAAAATCATTAGTTATTTACACAAATATAATTATCTTCTATTTTAAAATTTTGAAGCAGGTTTTGGCACATGTTGTAACCAATGACTTACTTGTAAACAAAACTTTCAGTTTAGCATCGTCATTAAATCATTAAAATTGTGAACAGGAAAAATAGCCCTGCTTAACAATTTATTCCGTATATCCTCATATGTGTAATTGTGAAGTAACACATGAAGCCCAATCTGTACTATACTTTCACCACGAGAATGATTGCCTTCCACACACAGCAGACCCATAACTCACCAGACAGTAAGTCATACTTCTTAACTGATAGAACACCTTTATATTTTGCAAGATAATGGTATACCTATGTATGAGAGCGGATTTCTTGAATCAGAAGTAGAATATCTGGGAATAGGATTCACTACACATTTTCCTAATGTAGATGATGCAATACCCTTATCAAAGCATATATTGAACAAAATTATCAAGAAACTGAATAGACCTATCTTTTTTTTAAACTTCTGCATCAATACTATCAACCCCACTAGCATTTCAAAGTTTTGCGCTCTCAACAACTTTCTTGACCTCCATATTTTATATTCTATTGTTAAATAATAAAGTACAATAACTAAAATTTATATCATGTGACATCTCAAAAAACATTACCATTATCACCATTTACAGATAATGACATAAAATCTAATTTCCATTTACCTAAAACATCACATACACTGTTAGAGCAAAAACCATTTTTAAAACAACCTCCATTGGTTTTCGTCTTTCGTCTTTATTTAGAGTCTTTCATATCAATCCTGTCAAAAGACTTCAAAAGTCCTTTGCAATGCACTCTACATTATATAAAAGCTCGTTTTGTAAGGAATACCAATACAGGGGCTTAGCGTTTTAAACCTCAAGATTAAACATCGTGCGACTTGCAATAAAAATATTCAAATAAGATCAATTTTATCTTTTCTGCTTGTAGCCTTTAACCATTTAGTTTCATTGATACACATAGTTTCCCTTAGACTGGTAAGTTTATTAGACACCAATGGTCTAGCATGCCATTTGGTTCAAGTATTACAAAACAGTAATAAGCAGCTGAAATCTCTTATCGCAAGTCAACAGAATTGACACGATTAAGTCATTTACAAGTATCATATAATAAGTGTACAAAATGTGTTTGGTCACAAAATACATACATCCAATGAAAATAAAGACTTTGGCCATTTACAATATAACAGGAATGTTATACAAATAAAATATATAATACATGAACAAGTACATTTCACACTTTCAACATTATAGCATGTCTTTGGCCAATTTAACAATTACATAGTGAAGAATATGGTCAAGACAACAATATTACAGTTCATATAGCATATATAAATTGCCAGAAACATACAGTAACCTGTATTAATATTATGCAATTTAAGAAGCAGGTTCTATATCGACAAAGCCTTTTCTTATTTGAAATGCTTCATACAAATATTTGACAGAATGTTTGAAAAATATTATTGCTGGGCCATGAACAATTGCCTAAATATTAGTTTTTCTTATTTCTGAATATACGGGACACGTTAACAAATAGTGATATTAATATTTAATTAAATTGGCATTACAAGCTTTACAGATTCGTTCATTTCATTGCGTACCTTGATATCTACCGACCTCAATTTCTAACGCGACATGTATCTTTATTAACACATTCCAAATATTTTTCAAAACCTCAACATTGTTTATACATTCTATAACATTCCAATTTAGACATGTCTTCTATACATTCACACCACTTTTGTACATATTGACCTCATAACCTCTGTTGTAAAATAGGTAAAAAATTGTAATTGTTCCTAGAAAATAAATGGATATAACTACAAGTTCAATATAGTATTCATTGTCAATTAAATTACCATAAAACAATTAATTTATTTTCTATTCATGCCACTAATAGTGTCATGGCTACTAATTTCTAATCCAAAGAAAATGAGAGGTAAATCATATTTTAGTAAGTTCATTCCTCATATTATCATTTAAAAATTCAAAACAAAAGCATGTTTTCAATCCAAATCACATTTTATGGTTACAATAACTTTCAGATTTTTTTTCAGATTAGAAATATCTTTTCTCTCAATCGAAAACAATGAAAATGAAAAAAAATACCCTGAAATACTGCATTCCGTCTGAAGATGAATAGTTAAACTAACCAACATACTATAAAAATTGTTTCAAACTTCTACAAATCTAGTGTAAGCTTTGTAACACAACGGGTTCTTTTTTCATTGATGCGTATTGTTTCAATTGTTTATCACATTAACTTTGTACTCTGTATTATTTACTAGTATAAGAGTATGCTTGAATTAATGTTGCGTTTTTCATGTTGATATTAAGTAAATGCATAACGTACTAAATGTATTCAAAACAGTATTTAAACAAAATATGATTAAAATCATAACAATAATTCCAGTCACCAGATGTTACCAGTTACAACAGTTTTTTGTCAGTCTAATGTTTTAGGATTGTGTTATTACATTTTGTAGCTGCGTCTTAAACCATAGCTATTTATAAATTTTATTAAACATGGTTATACAAAATTCAAAGTCATCAGTCATTTCTTAGTAACACAGTTGTCTTAAAGGATTTATACATGCATCAATCATTTCATCAATGTCCTCTTCACTAGGACATCTTTTCTGTAACGCCGCTACAGCTTTTCGTATTTTCTCTGATTCAGCGTGAGCTTCGTTTCTGTGTAGCTTTATCGAATCGGAAACTAGAAAACCTATATCAATGGGAAGAAAGACGGCACTTATGACCCCACCAGCAATATGAAATCCCCTTGCTGTGTTTCCAAGTGTACGGAATACGGGACCAACAGTTGATGTTACATCAGATGCAATGTCGACGGTTTTGCCAAGTCTAATAGCGTTCAAAACAGTACTCCCAACCATTTGCCAACCCAAACCAGAAAGGGTTTTCCCACTGCTCAACATCAGACTACACCAGAATGAGCTCCAGCTTGGGAATATTATGTCTATATCTCCAAACTTTTCTAACTGTGTTGATAAATTATTACATTTCATAAGTATTTCGTTAAAGGCTGTATTACATTCTTCAAGCTGGGCTTCCGCCTTTTTGCTCGCTTCCTTTGATTTTACCACGTCAGCTATAACAGCTCCACCAGTAACAATCCCACCTGCGCCCCCGATAATGCCTCCTGATAAATAAAAAAAGAAACTATGAAAAATAAATCCTAGTTATTTGAGGTGATATTTAGATATAAATGTACGATAACAATGTATCTGAATATTTAGACAGGTTTGTTTCAGAATAAATTGATCTTTACTGAAATATGGTAAGAATGAAATGTAGCCTTAATTGTTTTAGATCTGGACAACTAAACTATTTTGACAACCAGTACTTGTCTGAGAATTTACAACTGTGTAAAAGGTTTTGTACTAAAAATTATATTCATACATTTCCCAGCGTTCCGACATGAATTATTATTTCGGATAAGCACTTTAATATATTGAGAATATGTAACAAAAGTTGAACACATATGATCGCAAAATGTATGGCAAATGTTTTCATGCCAAGTCACAATAAGTCGTCTCATCGAATACAGCTTATTTGAAACTCGCTATAATAAATATATGAAAATTTAGAACGAGCATTAGGTTAAATAGACTAATTTTCAAGGGCTAGCTTAGTGTGACTAAATCCTTACTCTATGTATAAAAGTACTGCTAGTTTGCACATGCGTTAGCAGACAACTTTTATCCAGTTTTCCAGTGTCATTAGGGCATACCATTTTAGGACGTTGAAAACATTCTTTTATATGTGTGAGAGAGTTAGAGATAATGATTGCCAAGGACACATGTTTACAGGGTAGTTTTTTTTTTATTTATCTGCATAATCAGGCCTCCGGCCCATACATACATTCGACTAAGGCGGAATTTTGAGTAAAGCGATTTTGACTTATTGAGAGTAAACTGTATATATATATATACATTGTTAATCCTCGACTTCATGCTTCATATTTAGATGTAAATTATAATGTTGTATATATATATATATATATATATATATATATATATATATATATATATATATATATATATATATATATATACATGTATATATATATATATATATATATATATATATATATATATATATATATATATATATATACAACATTATAATTTACATCTAAATATGAAGCATGAAGTCGAGGATTAAAAATGACAAATTTCAGTTTATAATACCAATCTAACATAATATATATTGATATAAAAAGTTGCATTTATTAAAAAAAAAACTAGAACTATCACTAAATGTGATTAATACCCCCCGCAAGACTGCTTCGGAAATGAGGAAGTTGAGTTATGGTTGTGGGCAATTAAAGATAGTTGTGGTTTTTGTATGTTGCATTTCCTTTCAATGTGGTTGACCATTGATGGAGTTTTATTGAATTACTCTGTAATAAGTCCTGAAAGTGTTACATTTCTTGAGCACTGCACTTTCTCTCATTGTCCTTGACCATTTTATGAAGTTGCATTGAATTCTAAACATTAGTTTTTAAGTTATGCACCAGACAAGGAAAAGGAACAAAGGGCAATAACTCTACAAATACTGAAGATGGAGTTATGGTTATTGTACACTGTACTTCCTCTAATTGCGCTTGACCATTGTATGAAGTTGTATTGAATTCCAACTACTAGTTTTTAAGTTATGCACTGGACAAAAAATGTAGCGAAGGGAAATAACTGTAATTTGTCCAATTAGAGTTATGGTTCTTGTGCACTGAACTTCATTTCACTGCACTTGGCCATTGTATGAAGTTTCATTGAATTCCAATCATTAATTTTCAAGTTATGTACTGGACAATAAAAAGTAACAAAGGGCAAAAACTCTTAAATAAGTCAAGAAAGAGTTATGGTTTCTGTGCATTGCGCTTTCTTTCAATATACCTGACCATTGTATGAAATTAATTTGAATTCCAACTAGTAGTTTTCAAGTTATGCTCTGGACAAGAAAAAAGCAATGGAAAAGTTACAAAGGGCAATAACTCTATAAATACTCTGGACAGAGTTATGGTTCTTGTGCACTGCACTTCCTCTTATTGTGCTTGACTATTGTATGAAGTTGTTTTGAATTCGAACCAGTACTTTTCAAGTTATGTTCCGGACAAGGAGAAGTGACAAAGGGCAACAACTATGTAAATAGTCATGATGGAGTTATGGTTTTTGTGCACTGCACTTTCACTCAATGTGCTTTACCATTGTATGAAGCTATATTGAATTCCAACCATTAGTCTTCAAGTTATGGTCCGGACAAAAGAAAGCAATGGAAAAGTAACAAAGGGCAATAACTCTGTAATTACTTTAGATATAGTTATGGTTCTTGTGCACTGCACTTTCTCTTATTGTGATTGACCATTGTACGATGTTATTTTGAATTCCAACCAGTAGTTTTCAAGTCATGCTCAGGACAAGGAAAAGTAACCAAGGCCAATAACTCTGTAATTAGTCGAGATAAAGTTATGGTTCTTGTGCACTGCACTTCCTCTCAAAGTGATTGACCACTGTATGAAGTTGTGTTGAATTCCAACCATTAGTCTACAAGTTATGCTCCGGACAAGGAAAATGCAACAGACCGCCGAGTGACTCCTATATACCCCCAAACATCTTTGAGGGGGTATAAAAAACCTCAAGCTATCAGCTTATTTGTATCATTTAAAAGTGAACTGATAATGTTTGTACGTAACCTTTGGAAACAATTGAGCTATTTTATCTAGTCAAGTTCATATGATTTGGGGTTTTATCTATGCATATGAATAAATGTATAAATATAAAATTTATCTTGTTTTATACTAAATATGACGTAAAATAGATACCATGAACATTATGCACTAGCTGATTTTAATAAACTTAATATTCCCTTACAAGACGTTTAAAATAGAGAAAAATTGAATTGTGTGTTCATACGGCGGTTATCATGGAACCTTGATGCCAGTCCATGTCCAGTCCATGATAAACGGCGTATAATACACAAGTTAAAGATCCTGTATGTTGTAATTATGGTTATTACCACACTTAAGTGAAATTTTATATATGTATATGATTATGCTTCTAAAACATTTTTTTTTTCAAACACCGAAGAATGTGTAAAATATGTACGGCAAATATTTGTCCACATTATATGTAATCATTAAAATATATGCATTCCTTTTTATTGAAAAACATGACTTAATAGAAAATAAATTTCTAATACCTCCCTTTATTAACATGAAAAATTAATTCTTTAATATCTTTATAAATAATGCTTTTTGGATAAATCTTAATTTGAACATCATATATATGATAAAAAATCATAAAACATTTGTGTCACAGAATCTTTAAAGTATGCGTGTGCCCTAAACGAAAATCAAAGGGCGGAACTAGATAAAATGAAATTTTGAAAGGAATGTTAATTACCTGCTATACAGAGTCCAAGAGATGCTCCGAACGTTGCAAAAGAAAGTCCAAAGCCGATCACAGCTAACACTCCCCCTGCCACACATCCAGATTGTCCGGCAACTTTGGAAATCTTTATATCTAGAATTGTATTATAAATGACATAATTTAATTTTGGCATGTTTAAAAAAAATACATGTATACAGAAATAAGATGATTAATTTTTAAGTATTATATACTGTTAAATTGGTAATGGAATATTTCTCCGCGAACAACGACATTTAAACTACGAAACAATGTTAAAATCCCAAACATACTTAGTTTGATTTACACTGTCCTTGCAATGAAGTACTTTGGAAAATGCAATATTGTTCATACTGCTAGCACAGATTTACGTTAAACATGTACTTTTAAAGACCTGAATGGAAACAATGATTGCAAAGTACAAGTACTGAACAATGGTATTACTTCAAAGTCATTGACATTGTACCGAAAAGAAATGGAACAAATTGTTTACTTTTATATGCAGCATCAAGTTCGTCAGCGTAGCTCGAAAGAGATGTTGTAAATCGTAACAAAGAGGAATGAAAAACCTGTTTGAGATCAACACGCATGTCCTCTAAATCTCGAATGCAGTTTCTATTTCTATTTCTTGCCATTACTGTATTTCAGATGTCCTATTCTCAACCTTGAATTCAAAAGATATGTATTATTATACTAAAATTTACCATTTATAATATAAAATCATTTTAAATATATTTTGAATGACATTTTGCACATTTAAGTGTTAATGGTAGGTGTGTATGTCGAAGTTAAAATAACCTAAGATTTTGTCATAATTGTTGTTTTTTTATATATTACAGGTTATTACATTTGAATAATAAAAACTCACATGACTCACATAAAATTCTATAAATATCCTTTAAAGTATATGGTAAATATTCAAAAATGATGAAAACAAATTTGGGTAGTCATTTTAGGCTGTTGCTATATATTATTCCTTATCACTTCTCTTATCAATTATTAGTCAGTGACTATTATAAAGAGAAAAATTGCATAAACACAAAGACAAACTGATGGGTCTTCTATATATTTTAACAAGAAATCTAAATCTCCGTTCATTGCCCTACTGTTACGTTTTTGTACTAGACAACAATCATGCATCAGGTCTTTTTGAGGAATACTTTCAGACACTTTACAGTTTGAATTCTTTTATCAAAAACTAAGATTCACTTAATAATTTAAAGTATTATATTGGCCAACATTTGGTGCCAAAATTTCGAAAATTGATCACTCAATTATGAGGTTATGTATATCATAGCTAAATGAATGCAAATTTCTCTGGGCAATAAGCGTGGAATTGTTTTTTGGATGACCTATAAGTTCGACTATTATGATATTTTAATTAAATCCATTGCGTTTTCTATTATTTTTTTTATTTTTATCACATTTATATGGGGATGCACTTGAATTTAGATTGCTGTGTACAGCTGTCTGACCATGTGATATGCACCTTTACATCTCATTATACATTGTAAATGCGATATTTATTTTCAAACCATATTTTAATTACGAGGGTGTCCAAACTGTAATGCAATTTTGGGCATATATCATTCTTTTGCACGAGTTTCATACCAGTTACTTTTTTCTTATAGAGTCATTAGTTAGTTTTCAGTATAAATCCGTTTAGTCTAGCTTTGACTGTGACAATACAACAACAAAAATGTATACTTGTATAAACTAATCCTGAAATCAGTTTCGTTAACCAAATACCCTACTAAATTAAGAACCGCTGTGTGCTTGATATACGTGGTAAAGACATATTTCAAGAAAATTATGTTTCATTTATAGACAGGATGAGATGTGCTATGTATCAGTTACACGATGCTGTAAGACATTTGCAAGCGGTACAATAACGTTTGAAGATCCCCTTTGTTGGCACCGTAAAAAGAAAGCAACATTCCTTTATATCATTTCAAATGTCAAGGAATTTGTATCTTTTGATTCAAGATTTACAGTCAGGTAAACAGTTCGTACAGTATGCATCTCAAAAGAATCTCCTCGTATTATTCCAAAACGAGATTAATAATTAAAAAAGAAAGGTGCACGATAAATATACAATTTGCTGACAAAAGAACAGATACGACTCTCGGTAAAAACAGCCAAAACATAAAAATTTGGACAACCTTTGTATTAAATTAATTCTTCTATACCGTAGATGCATCGGTTTAATAAACCTAATAAAATTTAAAAGCAAATTAACTTACAGATAGTCGTAAATCCTGATTGGAGTAATTAACATTTGAAAGAAAATACTTTTTCATTAATTTCCAAAATAACTATTTATAGGTTGGATTTATCTGTGTTAAGATATAAAGACACTTGAAACAATTAACTCTTAGATAATACAGATGAAATATTTCATACATTTCTTTATCGCGGTTTATTTACAATTAACAAACTCATGCAGTGAATATTGTGACTACCTCATTTGTTAGCCACTTTTATCTCTAGATACACTTCCTTAATTTATATAATATTCAATATACTAGAACTGATATACCAATAAAAATTACTTTTTCATATGTACAGACATGTATGCTATTCATTGTTATTACTTTAAACAGATCAAACCCTTTAATTCTTGAATTTGGTATCAGACAGTGTCATTGTCCGGCATTTGTAAGCCATATTTTTACAGTTGCACACTGAAAAGGAATCTGAATAAAATCAAACTTGTCATCATCCTGTCACTATTTATCCTTGAACAAACCAAACCGAGTCTGCAACATTGAAAATTTGGCACGTTTGTGTTTCTTTAGAGACTCTGTTTCTCTCTATTTCAATCCTCTTATAATAGAGTTATGTAATAACTTACACGGAATAGTTTAAACATTGCACACCAACCTATCGAGAGCGTTTATAAGAAGAAGAAGAAGAAGAAGAAGAAGAAGAAGAAGAAAAAAGAAGAGGAAGAAGGTTTATTTTCACTTAAACTACAAGTTTCTCGTGATTAACATAATTATATACAAGCATACATATATAATATTGCTCATACTGCTAGCACAGTTTTACGTTAAACATGTACTTTTAAAGACCGGAATAGAAACAATGATTGCAAAGAACAAGTACTGAGCAATGGTTTCAACATTTTTAAATTCTAATTCAAAAAGATTTTGCTTCGAACATATAATTCATATTTGTTAAAAAATAATTGACATTGTACCGAAAAGAAATTGAACAAACTGTTTACTTTTATATGCAGCATCTAGTTCGTCAGCGTATCTCGAAAGAGATGTTATAAATTGTAACAAAGAGAGGAATGAAAACACTGTTTGAGATCAAAACCCATGTCCTCTAGATCCTGGATGCAGTTTATTTTTCTTGCCATTACTTTGTTTCAGTTGTACTATTCTCAACCTTGAATTCAAAATATATGTATTATTATATTAAAATTTAGAAATGTTACTTTCAGTAAAATTTACACCTTATCACAGGTGCATGTCGCGTAGCAAGGACAGAAAATAGCCCACGCCAAGTCGGTACATTTATAACATAAAATCATTTTAAGCATAAAAAAATAATTTGAAGTGACATAATGCACATTTTAGTGTTAATGGTAGGTTTGTATGTCGAACATTTTGTCATCATTGTTTTTTTACATATTATTTTATGTGCATAATAAAAACCCACATGACTCACATAAAATCCTGAAAATATCCTGTAGAATATATACATATAGTAACTATTCAATTGGGGTAGTCTTTTTAGGCAGTTGCTATATATTATCCTTACCACTTTTATTTTCAATTATTGGTCAGTGACTATTATATAAGCTTATCTATTTAATAGACTAAAAAAGCATAAACACAAAGTCAAACTGATGGACCTTTTTATGTATTTTCACAAGAAATCCAACTCTCCACTTATTGCCCTAGTGTTAGGTTTGGTACTTAACAACTTAACAACAATTATGAAATCAGGTCTTTTTGAGGAATACTTTCAGACACTTTACAGTTCGAATTTTTTTTAAAAAAAAAACTAAGATAAATTTAATGTCAGACTGAGTTCTTTTTCAATTCAATGTGATATATTTACCTACATTTTCTGCCTAATTTCGTTAATTGAACACGCAATTATTAGGAAATTATTTTCAAACCACATTTTGAATATGAGGGTGTCCAAACTGTAATGCAATTTGGTGCATATATCATTTTTTTCTTTTGCACGGGTTTCATACAAAAATTATTTTTTCGTGTATAGCAATCAATTAGTTTTCAGATGATTCTATTCCTGTATAAATCCATTAAGTCTAGTTTTGACAATACAACAAGAAACAGTATATACTTGTATAAACTTTTACTAAAATGGTCGAGCAAAATCAGTTTTCGTTCACCAAATACCGTCCTATATTAAGAACCGCTGTGTTCTTAGTATACGTGCTAAGGACTATTTCAAGAAATATGTGTCATTTATCCTAATTAGGAGTAATAAAGATTTGAAAGAAAGACATTTTCATAACTTTCATAATTTAATAATAAAATTTTCATAAATTTCGATAATAACTATTTATAGATTGGTTTTATCTGTGGTAAGATATAATCACTTTAACCACTTAATTCGTAAATAATATAATTGAAATATTTCATGCATTTCTTGCAACTTTGATTGCAGTTAAGTTACAATAAACAAACTCATGCAGTGAATATTATGATTTTCTACCACCTTTTTATCTGTAGATACATTTCATTAATTTATATTATATGAAATATACTCAAAAATGCACCATCTGACTAAAACAAATAACCGTCATATATTAATTGAATTAAACAGAATTTTTTGCTTTAAAACGACTTAAACAATACCAGTAGATATACGTAAGAACAAATATACCAATGAAAAACACCACGTTTTTAAATACATAGACATGTATGCTATTCATTTCATTTTTAATACTTTAAAAAGAACAAGAGCTGTCACCCAAGTGACGAATGCTCCCGAAAAGGTTTCATAAGCATGCAGGTATTATGAAAAGAAAAGAGAATAAAAGTTACTAATTGCTTAATATTGTTCTTTGTATTATTGAACCTGTTATCTCTACGAGGTTTATTCAAGAAGTTCTGTAACCAATGCTCTTCTGTAGCGAAACCTATACATTGATGTACATAAATAATCACACTATATAAGCACGGAAAACACGTGCAAATCAATGCAATAGTGACAAAAGTATTCAGTTTTGAAGTAGTGTCACTCATATACACTGGCCATATTTTGGAAATAACAATGAATCGACATTACAAAGTTGAAGTACGCACTGATATTAAAAGTCGCACTGCTTTGCATATATCTCCAAAAGACTTTTATAATGAGCTGAATGGTATTTATGGACATTCTGTGACATTTATGACAGTTTGTAGGTGGGCGAAAACAATTTAAAGGTGGACTTTCTGTGATTAAAGATGGTCATCGAAGTGGACGTCCGAAGTCGTCAGTGACTGATAAGCATGTGGCTGCTGTGAAAGCATTGGTAGACGAAGATGGCCGTTATACAGTAAAGGATACGGCTAATATTGTTGGCATTTCAGAAGAAAGTGTTCATGAAATTCTGTCAAAAAAACTTGGACTTAAAAAGGTTTGTGCACGTTGGAAGCCCCATTTATAGACCAATGACCAGAAAAGAATGAGAGTCATGTGTTCAAAACAACTCCTTAAAGAGTTCAAAACATTTGATAGCAGGACTATTTCTAATATGTTAACTGGAGATGAGACTTGTGTCTACATGTTTGAGCCACAAAGGAGGGGTGATAATACACAATGGAGAGGAAAAAATCAAAAACGTCCAGTAGTGGCTAAACGGCAGAAAAGCTCAAAGAAAGTTCTGTACACAATGTTTTTCAATCATCTTGGTCCAGTTATTCAGATACCATCACAATCTGAAAAATCAATCACTGGAACATATTATAAGAACGTTGTGCTTAAAAGGATAAAAAAGTTTTATAAAAAGAAACGTCCAAGTACTGAATAAAGGGGAGTTAATTTACTACACGATAATGCCCCCGCGCTCAAAAGCAAGGGGGTTGTTAACTTTCTCGCGGAAGAAAAGGTAAATGTGTTAAGCCCCCCCCCCCCCCTTATTCGCCGGATTTAAGTCCATGTGACTTTTTTTATTTCCCCGGCTAAAAAAGATGTTGTCTGGACTTCAGTATACCACCAGAAGCGGACTTGGAAGTGCTGTATATCAGTATTTGAGACTGATACCAAAGGCAAACTACTCTGATGCATTTAGACAGTCAAAATTTCGATTACAAAAGTTTATTTCTATAGGTGTTGAATATTTTGAAGGGATGAAATAAATCATTTTCGTATATATTTCCTTTATCTTGTTTTTAATACCCGATAGCAGAACTTTTTGAAGAACCCTCATAATTGTGATAGCGTGAACCTCCAAAATATAAGTGTGACCTTCACATTTGAAGAAGGAACGTGGTTCCTGGACGCAACAGAATGTTCTTATGAGATAGACATTTGTGCCAAATTACTTCAAAATCCCTCAATGCATGACAAATTTACAGTCTGGACATGATTTTTGTTTAAGTGGGGGTATACAGACGGACAGACAGACATGAGCTATAGCCGACACACATGGACTAGATGTGGTAGACATTTGTGCAAAGTTATTTTAAAATCCTTCCATGCATGACTAAGTTACAGTCCGGACATGAATGTGTACCTTCAAACTCTTCTCGAGCGAATGAGTACCTTCAAACTATAAGTGTGACCTTGAAGGTATGGACATTGGTCTTAGTCGTGACATGTCGTCTTGATGGGGTGGACATTTATGGCTAGTAATTTTCAAATCCCTTGATGCATGACAAAGTTACAGTCCAGTTACAGTCCAGTAACCTATAAACTCTAATTGTGATAAAGTGAACTTCAAAATGGCAGTGTGACCTTTGAAGTTAGTACGTGATAATTGGACACGACACATCGTTTTGATGTGGTATATATTTATGCCAAGTTATTCTAAAAGCCTTCCATGCATGACAAAGTAACAATCCGGACACAAATGTGTGTACCTATAAACTCTTCTGATCAAGTGAAGCTTCAAAATGTTAGTATGACCTTGACCTTTGAGGTAGGGACGTAATTATTAGACGCGACACATCGTCTTGATGTGGCAGACATTTATGCCAACTTGTTCTAAAATCCTTCCAAGCCTGACAAAGTTACAGCCCGTACACGATTGTGTGTACCTATTAATTCTAATTGTGATACTTTGAAACTTCAAAATGTTAGTATGACCTTGACTTTGAGATAGGGACGTAATTCTTGGACGCGACACATCGTCTTGATGTGGTAGACATTTATGCCTAGTTATTTTAAAATCATTCGATGCATGACAAAGTCACA